AGAGGAGGAGCCCGTCGCCGGCACCGTGGCGCCGGGCGCGCGCGGCGAGACCGCAGCAGGGCAGCTGCAACCGTCACAAGGCGTCATGGAGTACCGCGCCTCGGCGACATGCCGTCTGCTTGGGTTCCCAGTGGAGCTGGCAGCAGCGGGTGGTCTAAAGGCCGATGAGGTGTTGGGTCGCGTGCTGCATGAGGCACTTGAGAGCGACGTGGTTTTTATTCACCCACAGCAAAGGGGAGGGGGCGCTGCATCATCACAATCGACGCGTGGTCACGGTCGCGGCAACCAAAGGCGAAGCGGATATCGGCAGAACAATTCGACGCATGCGCTCTCACCGCGCCAGATGGAGCTGAAGGCGATCATGGATGAACTTAGAGAGCTTTGTGTGCACTTTAGCCGCGTGCTGAAGTTCTCCATAAAGTTTCCGCGGAACAACCCCCAACAAGAGCAACAACAACAACAACAACACCAGCAACCCAAGCAGTGGGATGACGGTAGTGGGACTCAGGGTGAGTGGCGTTGTCGGGCCTACGTGCGGGATGAATGGGGTGTGGCACCCAATCTCTCCTTCACCGCTGAGGCGCGTGGCCAGTCGGCCAATGACTCGCTGATGCGTTGTCTCGCGATGCTGCGTGACCGCTACCGTGCTGAGTTAGAGTCTCCCGCCGTGCAGCTTGAGAGCGTCCGAGAGGTGGAGGCTTTTATCCATCCGTGGGGGAAAACTGTTGAGAGCCACTGCTTCGAAGAGGGCACGACGGATGACTCATCCGAAGCTCAAACATCAGCTCCAGCAGGTCAAAAAAATGACAAGAAGAAGAAGAAAAAGAAGAATGATGAGGATTCCTCGCATGAGGCAGGTGCCGCGCAGCCTGTGCCCGTCGAGGAGCAGTACAGAGTGCTGCGCCCAACAACCTTCACCGCCGCTGTGATTGTCGAGGACGCGCAGGGGAACATCAGCGTATCCCAGGTGAAGCGGCAAGCCACGCCACTGGTGGCGTACCAGAGTGCTTCTGTCCAAGCGCTGCGTGTCGAGGCGGGGCTCGTACCGGACGTAACAATCATGGATCAGTGCCTTCCGCCGGTGCCACTGCTATTGCGCATGCGGTGGCAGTTGGACGCGATGGTGCAGCGTCTGGCACAGCTGCACAGCAAGCGGCCGGAGGAGGTCGCCACGATACGCATCGAGGGTGAGTCGGGAAGTGGTGATAAGAATACCATTGAAAATGGGAAGAGTGACCTTGCCACCAAGAATGAGGAAGAAGCAGAGATCAGCGACAAACAGTGCGTCTTTTTTAATGCGTACTTTATTTCGGAGGGAAGTGTTGTGTGGCAGCAGAGCGGGCAGGGACGCTACCGCCTCGAGTTTGATTGCTACGTGCAGGCGCTAACATATCTCCTTGACCAGTACCCCGAGGTGGGGCTTACATGCTTTGACACGTGTGGTGGCGGTGCGCTCTTCCCCACCACGAAGCTGCTGGAACTCGCCGTGATGAAGCATGACAACTATAACGTGGGCGCCAACCACCGCGGAAAGTGGAATGTGTACGCCCTGTTGGGGACGCTTACATCGCAGCTTATTGGCAGTTTCTACCAGACAACGTACCATGCGGACCGGGCAACGGGCGAGGCGCGTGCGGTTCTCACCGTGAATGACGGCCTGCGCTCGAACCAACTGCTGATTCAGCGTCAGGCGAAGAAGCGTGGTGAGGCATGGCGCAGTGCGTGTCTGGATGCGCTGCGGGAGAACTTCCCCAACCAGTACCGCGACGCCCTGCTGCTGCACCCCGATCTTGACCTCTCTGGCGACACCATGGCACGTGGGAGCAGGTACCGCGCCCTTCCACGAGAGAAACGTGTGGAGCATATCGGTAACATATTCTCCCTTGTTGCCGCCTTTGCAGAGGAGGACTTGGGATGGCATAACTTGCGTGTGCGTCTGCGCAACGCGTCCGCGGATTTGGGCCTCCCGCAGTGGGTGGCGGAGATGGAGGCGCAGATCGAGGGTGAGGAACAGCGGCGTGTCGTGGCCATTTCGCCGCCGTACTCACAGGTGAAGCACGCCAGGCGGGTGCTCGTCTATCAGTTGGCGCAAAAGTACTTCCCCAAGGAGCTGCAGGCATATGCCAAACTGAACCGTGGTGATGCAGTGAATCCTGACCAGGACGCACGCAACACGGACAACACTGTATACCGAGCGGGGACAGAGTCGTTTGTGAATCAGGTAATGATGCTTCTCGAGGAGCGGGCGCCTGCCATGGCACCCTTCTCATGGACACTCGAGCAGCACGTTGACAGCAACACCGAGAGCACCGGTAACGACGGCAGCGTTGAGTACCTTCTCCACCCTTTTAGCCCGCGCTTCCGTGCGGCAGTCTATGGGATGAGCGGTGACATGCTCATCAGCGAGCGTCTCGGCACAGAGGATGAGAGTGCGGTGGGTGTGCTGTGCAGCGCGTTGCGTGCGGCGACCAATCGTCTCGCTGGGGCAAAGGGCGAGCAGCTGTGGACGGAGTACGAGTGTCATGCGCCGCCGCCCATCGCCACTTCGCGTGAGTTGTCACTCTACATGTTTAACGCCTTTTTTGGGGTTTCGAAACTCGGCATGGTGACAGACGCGGAGTCGCTGTCCACAGCCTCCTCCGCGGAGCAGCAGGTGGTGGACATCGACGCGCGGGAACTCGGTGGCTACTGGTTTGTCACGCTGTCACTCTCACGGGCGGGTGATTTGGCTGTAGCGCGCGCCATCGCGACAGCAAAGCGAGAGGGCATCCGCGACGTGATGCTGCTGGCGTGCCGCAGGAGTTTTCCACGGGCGCTGCAGTACCTGGCGGCTCACTCGCGGGAGGTGGGTTCTTTCGCGGCGGAGATATTCGCCTCGCCGGTGGTGGAGGCTCTGCCAGATGCCGTGCTACATGACATAAAACATGGCCTGGAGCGTGCAGAAGCCGCCGGGCCGCCGCGGCCGTACACACTACTGCGCCGCTGCGTCACGCGCGAGTTCCGCAATGAGCGTTGGCTGCGGGTGGAGCAGATGTCGAACAGCGGCAACGGATTTCAGTGCCGTATTTATTTACAGAAACACCGGCGTGAGTCGAAAAAGGGCGAGGTGCAGCTTGTAGGCTTTGGTGCCGCGCTGAGTCGGTCGCAGGCTCTGCACATTGCCTCTCTCTGTGCGTTGGAGAATCTCTTTGAGAGTGATCTCGCTGCGGCTGTTGCGCGCTCACCAGGCTATAGGGACCTGCCGTCCCTAGAATAATAAAGAAACGCGTAGCGGGAGAGGATGAATATGAGTCTGCCTGAGAGAGAGAGAGAGAGAGAGAGAGAGAGAGAGAGAAAGAGAGGAAAGACCCAAAGAAGAAAAGAGAGGGGGGAAGTGAGAGACTCATGGCCTGTGCGAAACTCATGATAAATTTTATTATTGGTAGTGTCATTTGCTTTGAATATATATATATATATGTCTCTCCCTTGGTGCCTCCGTGGGTTTTTTTTTTGCGATTTTATCGGAACTTATATCTATACTTTATTAGATATACACACACTCACACATAAATACAGGTAACTTGCTTTGGAGAGGGGAAAGTTAAACGGAGGCGAGCGTGTTCTGTGGAGTGGTGCTCTGCAGAATGCGCTCACTTGAAGTGCTTTGCTCATTGGCCAGGGAGATGGGGTCGGCAAGCCAGGCGCTGTCGCTAAGAGATCGGCGTGGGGATGCTCAACGCAGTGGGTCTCATAGCAGGTCAAAAAATAGTGGTGGCAACAGAGATAGACTTCAGAAGGCTGAAATTATTCAGCACTGTTTGGCGACGCTTAAGTGTATAAAAGCCCTGTTGTTGTTGTTTGATTCCAAGAGTGAGGACACCACCACCACCGCTGACCTTTCTCTTGACACTCTACGGTTCTGTGGGTGGCAATACGTTGACCTAGAACACCTTCAGCGGGAGCTCGTAAGTGGCGAGCAAAAAGACACCGACGACGCCATGTTGGTGGCCGCTCTCTTGAACGACACGTACGTTTCGTGGATTAACTGCAGCCGCCTACTGTCGGAAACACTCTGTCACGACTGGGCGGCGGTACAAACTCTGGGTGGTGGCAGCAGCTGTTTTTCTAACCCCTATGGTTTGCCGTTGGCATCGCGGGAGTCGAGGCCTGATCATGCGGTGGACGCCAATGTGAAGCCAGCTGAAGAAAAGATAAGGGGAAAAGAGAGGGAAGGGTGGGACTCTTCCGAAGTTCCATGTAATGCCGCTATTAAGCTACCACTCTTGGCGTCGCAGTTATGGGCCCCAGATGTGAAGGCATGGCTGATGCCTGAAGGNCCAGCGGCCCAATGCCATCCATTTTCAGGCCCTGCTGGCCTCTTGGATTCGTCGCTCTACGAATGGGATAAGAACGACATCGATGATAGCGATGAGCTTCCAACTCAAAGCGTAGAGTTGTTCTCTGTTGCAACAGCTACGAAAGGTACTCAGGCAGCTCCGCTAGAGGAGGAAAGAGGTCTTGTGGTGGCGTTGAACACCAGTGATGAGGGCAAGCCCTCATCCACGTCTCCGCTCATCCAAGGGATGACCAAGACGCAGAAGAAGAAAGTCCCTTGGAAGACGCGCTCCCAACAGGTGTCGAGGGCACCAAGTTTAAGGCACTTGGTGGAGACGGTGTTGACGGAGGACTACGGGTGGAGCAACTTGCAATTGAAGGTGCATGAGGTGCGCTTGGAACAGGCTACCACCGGGTGGGTGGTAGAGGCACAGGTAACGCTGGATGACGGAAGGATTAAGGTGATTGCTCGTTCCCCCCCGCGCCAGCGTTCCCGCGTGGCGCAGCGCTGTATCATATTGTATTTGGCCCAACAGTTTCTTCCAAATGAATTGGTACACTACTGCTCACTCCAGCGCAGCGATGTTTTTCCATCGGATATGGCTCTGGGCGTGGAGCGTCTTGGTGAAGGTGGCTTCGAGGGAGGTGCGGTGTTCCAGTCCACTACCGACATGATCACTCAAGTTATGAATCTCATAGAGGACGCAGACCCCGCACTGGCCCCGTTGTCGTGTTCGGTGGAGGAATATGGCGCAACTCAAGCGAGTCACAAAAGTGAGGGGTGGCACACGCAGCCGAAATCTCGTCGGTACCGCGCTGTTTTGTGTTCACAAGCCGTGAATGTTATCAGCGAGCGCGTCGGCACAGAGGATGAGAGTGCGGTGGGTGTGTTGTGCAGCGCGTTGCGTGCGGTGACCAATCGTCTCGCTGGGGCAAAGGGCGAGCAGCTGTGGACGGAGTACGAGTGTCATGCGCCGCCGCCCATCGCCACTTCGCGTGAGCTGTCACTCTACATGTTTAACGCCTTTTTTGGGGATGTGCCACCAGCGGGTTGCCTCCAAATTGACACTTCTTCTAAACCAGTTAAGGGAGTTGGTACATTGTGGAAGGGCACGGCGTCGCTTTGCATCAATGGGCAATGTGTGCAACTAGCAGAGGCGTACGCGTCCTCGAAGCGGGATGCCGCAGTGCACGCCGCTATTCTTGCCTGTCGGCTGAATTTTTCGGACAGATTGCAGTGGCTTCTTAGGAAGCCAGCGGACTCAACTGAGGGGGTGCAGTTGGAGGTCGCACATGAGGTGCTTGAGCAGAAGATTCTCACATCTGTGGAAGAGGCAATCGAAGCGGCAGACGCCGACAGCCGCGGGGTGATGCCGTCGGCTTTTGACCTTCTTCGCCATTTTGTGGCGAAGGAGTATCACCATTCCCGCGTAGTGGAGGCGCGGGTGTCTGAGAACGGGGACACAACGTACACCTGTGAGCTGTTCATTCTGTCCAATGGTTCGGTGGAGATGCCGCCGCATCAGATATCTCAGGCCGTGGGCGCCACTGCAAGTGAGGCACGAGGACAGGCGTCGATGATTGCCCTGCAGACTATGTTCAAGAAACAGTACGAAGCGGTACTTGTTCAGTCCAAGTCCCCATAATTGAGTATTGCTTTTTCTTTTTTTTTTCTTTAAAAAAGCCTCTCTGAGCATTGTGTTGAATTTGTTGCTGCGAGGAGCTGATTCTCTTCGGACTGCACATTAAATTAAACTCTTGAATGCTGTTGTCTTTTCCCTTCCTTCATGCAAGCAAGCACGCACACACTCCCGCGAAGGTGGGTGAACTTGCGTATTTGTGACGAGATCAAATAGAGAGAGACATCATAGATCCTTATTGCTCTGTGCCCATGAACGAAATACCCTTCCCCTCGTGGGTGCACCGTTCACCGGTGTTTGCAATGGCGCGGGTGCTGGGTAGACAATTGCAGGAACAATTATTAGCATCACCCACACGAGTGTCATCCCTAGCAGGGAGCCACCGCGAGGATTCTGAGATCCGCCAGATGACTTCGCTCTTTTATACAAAGTGCGTCGATTCAATGAGCTCATTTAACTTTGACGAGCATTCAGCGGGGGTAATGTTTAGCGGAGGTGTGAAAACACTTGGCGCCATTACGTCACCAGCAGCTACGGATCTGCGGCTGGATTCCGCCAAATCCCTGTCGCAGTCCTGTGACATCCTCAATCATCCACGCGTTGCGCTGCTCATTGAATTGTCCCAGGTAAACGAGCTCATGTCACACGGAACAAGCGTCTCCACCAAAAACGCTCCGGCTCTGATTTCCCTTATGGCCCTTGCTGTGGAGTGCCGCTCGCTTCCAAGTGACCACACCAAGGGGTTCTACACGGAGTGTGCTTCCTTCTATACATCGCTGATGCAGCGCCTGAAGACCATGACATTTCTTCCTGGTGTTGACGTGCAGGGGCTTGTGGCTTCGCTCGTCTCTTGTGGGCTGCAGCTGCGGAGCAACGATGAAGAAGTCGGCGGCAGTGGTGGTGGCGATGGGGGTTGTGGTACCGGCAGAAATTCAAACACCGGTATCAGTAGTAATCGTAGAGTGAAGAATGTTGGGCTGGCAGGGTTTGACAGTCGCGTCATTGACTCCATTATTGTTTCCTGCATTCCCGCAAGCTTCGACGACTGTGTTGAGAATTCCATCGCATTGGGCACACTAGAAGGACTCGCGTACACGACTAAGAAAAAGTCTGTTTACTTGAGCTCACAACTCGTGAATCACCTCCACAATCTCACAGACGCCTTCACAACCCTGCCTAGGCGAAAGGAACCAGAATACAAGAAGCTGCAGTGCTACCTTATGGAGGCGATATGCTGCGCTCGCTGTGTTGAATATACACGAATGCATAACTGGCTTGCAGTGATACTTGAACGAAATTACCTTCTAAAGGGCCTCCTACAGAAGGAGGATTTGCATGCGCGTGTGGTGGCCGCGATGCTGACACTGCTAACGAGGTGGCTCCAGGACGCCGCGAAAGTGTGCATTTCAAAAACCAAGCGTACGGGTGGTGGTGACAACCACAGGGATGCGGCAGCCTTTGCGGTTCGTGAAGAGTCTATCGAGGCTGATGCGCTTATAGAAAACGTCTGGACGGCACTTCATGAAGCGATTGTTACATGGGAGGGACTTCAAAAGACGAACATTACTGTATACGGTGACAACGTGCGCATTGTTGTGGAGAACTTGCTGCGGGCAGAAATGGAACGTGTGCAGTGTTATCGGGTCTTAAGTGGGGTGCAGTGCCACACTGGTGTGGTGCAGCAGCAGGGTGACACGTCTCATTTAAGCTACGTGCCATCGGCGGAAGAGGAGGACCTTCGGCTTCGCGTGATTGGGAATATCGTGAAGTTCCTTCTCCTTCCGACAAGTGTTTTCGGTGCGATTAGTGTAAGGGCTGTTACTGCAACAGCGGCCTCTCTACGACAGGACGTCTCAGAGCAATGCGCAAAGGTGATTGCACTTACCGCCGCTACATCAGGCAGTATCACATCACTGGGGCGCTCCACCACCACCAGCTCTGCTGCTGTCATTTTGGCGAGTTTTTCCAACAAATTCTACAACGGCATTGAGAGCATCGCCCACACGTTAATCTTACGTGTCTTGGAGGCAGGCTCGTTGAGCGCCTCTACGTCATTGAACGCGGAGGAGGGGGAAGAAGAAATTCGTATTGCAGCGCTTTGTATGCAGAGCCTATGCGCCACGAATGCGCATATACGTTCTTTTGCGGTGACAGAGGTTCTGGATGCCGTTGTGCGCTTCCCTAGTATGCAACATGCCACGGATGCGTCACGCACCAGTGACAGCTCCATGACTCTCTTCTCTACTGTGCCCGTCTCCCGTATGTCGGTGTGCTTTGAAATGATGAGCCGCGTTCTCGCGTCGCGACATCGCTCTATATTGAGACCAATCCCTTATGAGGGGCTGCTGCGCTTTGGACAGCTATTGTGTGACACATTTGAAGACACGCTTCGCAGTCATGTGAGCGCTGGCGATTTTACTGACCCGACGGTGACGCTGCCGAGCCCTACAATGCATGTGGTCGCAAATTCCTTCTGGAGGCTTGTGAAGCGTTGCCATGAGCGCATTCGCGTGATGACACGGCAAAGCCTCCGCCTCGTCACCTCTGATTGTGAAGAGTCGAAGGTACGATTAATAGACGCACTTAATGAGGAGAGCAAGGTCCTCCACCTGCTTCTGCGAGCTGTGCTGCGTTGTATGATCAGTGTTGCTTGGCCGGGATCGGGTATCCTCTACGGTGCGAGTCGCAAGAAAGTTAATCGGCGTCCTTCAAATTTTGATGTCACGGAAGCTGCACTTGCGGTACTGTCACTCTTCTTCCGTCCCTTATGCCTACTGTGCCAACTCTCAACGCTGTTTCCAGTGACGAAAGACATGCGACGTCTCATGCATCACCATGAGAATGCTCAGAGGCTTATGCAGATGGATGGCAGTGACTCTTTCCTTCACCACTACTGCTTTCATCCAAGCAACGCGAACTCTCCTTTCTATGCGGACAACGGCACAGCACAATTCCGCTCCTGCTGGCTCATGTTGTCGTACTATCGCTTTACAAATGAAGCACTGATGATGACGCACTCTGGTGAGGTCCGGGCGGGGGCAAACGGGCGGGGGCGGCACGGTAAGTTCTTCTTGACAGCATACCAAGCGAGATGCATTCGGCTTCTTGCCGCCTCGATGCCACCACTCATGCACATGCGGTCCTCGGACTATCAGCAGGCTATGGCAGACATTGAGGTGCTGGGTCGCTGCTTGTCTCGTAGCGGTGTGATAAGTGAGGCTAAATCCTACGAGAAGGAGTTGTGGCACTCTCTCCGATATTGCTGCCCAGAGATTGGGCATGGGAGAGGTCGGCTCTCGTTTTCTGAACTTTTCTTGGTGAATGCCCTCGCCATGCTTGAGATGCTGCGTGCGTCGTGTGGATCTATTTCGACCATTACACAGTATCAGCATTTTGAGGTGCGAGAGTTTGACGCCAGCAAGGACGTTCGGACCATTGTAGAAGGCATAACAGCGGCTGTCACGACACGGTACCTTTCAGCTCTGCAGAGTATGCCCCCTGAAGTCGCAGCGAGCAGAATTGATGAGAATGCAAGACAACTTGTAATGCTTTACGGATTCGCCATTGACTCTGTAAGGCGCTCCGCCAAGGATATTCTCACGACGATCATCAACATTTTCCCGGCTCCTTCATCAAATAGTGGAGCCCTCCCGTTGTTGTGGGCAGTGATTAACTTGTTGGAGTCTGGAAATTCAAAGGAAATAGAACGTTTCTGTGAGCATCTACGCTTCCCTGAAACTCCTGCGGTTGCCACAGATCCTGATTCCCTTGAGCGGCGGAAGCAGCTCCAAGATGTTGTAGCTTTTGCTGAGTTTTGGGCTGCGGTTGCGCGAAGACGCACACCACTGGCGTTGCAGGAGCACGCAACATTGTTTGTCGTGGAGACAGAGGGACCATCCGGGGTACTCGGTTCTGGTGCTGGGTCGCAACTGGCGATTCGTGCCCAGAGTGTAAACACTGCCTCACCTGATTCAAGTCCGAATTATGCCCAGGGACTAATCAAAAGGAGTAATGCACAGGGGCAAATGATGGCTGCCTCCCGGTTGTTTCCACGGGGTGGCATAGAAAACCTTTTTCTTGAGCGTTTAAAAGCCATGGTGGAGGATGGGCTCGAAACAAGAGGTGTGGCTGCGCAGTCGCAAGAAAAGGTGTTTGCATCATTGCTGAACACCGTTCGAGCTGTTGCAACGTTGGGAGAACGTGCTGAGGACGAGGACGAGGACGAGCATCATCATCATCAGCAGAAAACGTCGCATAGAGGAAGGTCACCCATACGCGCAGGACAAGCCGAACTGCAAAAGCTTTATGAGGCCGATACGCTTTTGTGTACTGTTGCGGCGTTTCTGACGTCACCGCATATCTCTCCCTCGGCGCGAATGGAGCTTCTTAGATATCTTGTGCAGGGCCCCATTCATCTATTCACAAGCCATTATATAAAGGCTGCAATTCAAGGCTGGAATTGGCTTCTTTTTGAGAAGCGTGAGTGGTATGCGGTGCCTCTGCTGGTACAGGTTGTGGAGGGATTTCTTTGGACAATTTCACAGAGGATCGGCCTCTTTGATGGTGCCAGACCGTCACAGTCAGACGAAGTGGAGTCTGGAGACCGAACAGCGTCAATGCAGAGCACCACCATTTACCCGGACGACTACAATACAAACTCACCACACAAGGTTCTTATTGGATTTATTACATCGTGTTACGTGGACTTGGCGGGGCCTGTCACATTTGACCCGTCTATCCTTCTCCTTCTGCATCGTCTCGCCATGCGAGTAGTGGAGTCGCCGTCTCGATTCTCTACGAAAGATGCTTCTTTTTCAGAAACAATGCGATGCGCTTTGATGGTGAGCTACATTTGCCGAAATTTACAAATGGCGAACGGGCGCCGTTTGAATGTGGGCTTGCCTGTGCTTGTGGCTTCTACTTCCATTGGCGCTCTTCATCAGGGCTTATACAAGTGCCTCTTGCAATGGTTTCGCAAGACACCACCGTCGTGGTACTTTTCACGGGATCCCTCCGCTGCTGAAGAAGAATTGACTGCTCTGGGGAAACTCATAGGCGTGCTCGATGCGGATAAAGAGTCACTATCACGATCTGTGCATGGATTCCTGGATTTTTCTGGATTTGGCAATGACGTTTGTTCGGCATCTAAACTTACGATTATGGGGAACATGGTGTGTCAAGGGGCGAGTGTAGGGAGTGGCTCCGTGCGTGGGGTGGGTTCCGGTGGTATAAAAGATGTTGATGAGTGCATTGCAGAAGAACGTGATCGTCTAATGAATCTAATTGGTCTGTTGCGCCTGTTGGTGGAGCATGAACGCACACGATTGATGGTGTGGCTGCGGCCACGTGAAGCCTTTCAAAATACTCAGAATCACAAGGAGGTCTCAGAGGTTCTGTGGAAAGCACATTGTGAGGCAGCGGCGCGAAATGACCCCGCCGTGTTGTTGGCATTGGTGACACGATTTCCCAATGCACATGTTTTGGGGTTTGCCACACAACTCGTTTCAGAAAACCCTGAGGTGTTTTGTCACATACCAGAGGCAGTCGATTTGTACCTCAACGATGCGGTGCTCATGAATGGTTATCCTGCCCTTTATATGTTTACTAATTGTGGTATTGTGCAGGCCCTTCGTTTTTTGGACAGACGCTACACCTCACGTTACCCACAGGTCTCTGCTTACGCCCTTCGCAGTCTGTTGTCGCAGAAAAGTGAGAGTCTTATCTTTTACCTTCCGCAGATATTACAAGTCCTTTCAGGTGACCAAACTGATGGGATAGCGACTTTTCTTCGAAAAATGTGTGGAAAGAGTGAGATGTTTACGCATCAATTGCTTTGGTCGCTGCGGACGGAAGGGGGGGGAGAGGGTGAACTTGCAAAAAAGTGTATGCAACTCGCCTCTGAAATACAGCAAGGGTTTGATGCACATAGGCGGGCGTTTCTTGATGGTGAGTTTTCATTTATTCAGAGGATAATTTCTGTCTCGGGTGAGATGAAGCCAGTGGAGAAGGCTCAGCGGAAGGAGAGGCTTCGAATTCGTCTGCGGGATGCGGAGTTTCATGAACCGATGGGGCGGCTACACTTGTACCTCCCTACGGACGTTAATTGGCGCATTGTGGGACTCATTCCTCACACGGCTGGTGCTATGCAAAGTGCGGCGAAGTGCCCCATTTTGGTACAATTTCAATGTGTACCACGAGGGCACGATGATACTGAAGTGGCTCCAAAGAAGAGCAAATCTGGGTCGTTGCCTAAGCAAACGGAATCTGTAGTGAAGGCTTGTATTTTCAAAATGGGTGACGATTGCCGTCAAGATCAAATTGCCCTTCAACTGATTGGTCTTTTTCAGTCCATCTTTAATGCAATTCAGGTGCCTTCTTACTTGTACCCTTACCGTGTGGTAACAACTGGAAAAGATTGTGGTATTATTGAGTGCGTCCCGCGCGCGATGAGTCGGGACCAAATTGGAAAGCTGGTGGAAAGCAATCTTGCGGAGTACTTTGTCCAGACGTATGGGCACCCAGAGTCGGTAACCTTTCATCGGGCTCGAGATTGCTTTATCCGAAGTATGTCGTCGTATTCCGTCGCTTCCTTTATTCTAAACATAAAGGACCGTCATAATGGCAACATTATGATTGATGCTCATGGTCACCTTGTGCACATTGATTTTGGATTTTTGTTTGACCTATCGCCAGGGGGTGATATAAACTTCGAATCATCCCCCTTTAAATTGACAGCAGAAATGGTACAGCTCATGGGGCACCCTGTGAAGAAGCGGGCGGGGACGGTGCAAAGTCCTTCCTTGGCGAAGGCGCTGGTGAATCCTGAGGGGTATGATCTTTTTGTGGATTTGACAGTTCGCTGCTACCTGGCCGTTCGGCAGTACGCCCGGCAGATTTGTATCCTTGTCGAGTTGATGCTCAGCAGTGGGTTGCCTTGTTTCAAACCCCAGCGTACCATTCAGGATCTTGCATGGCGCCTCTCCATGCAGAAAAGTGAAGCAGAGGCTGCCGATTTCATCCTCAAACGAATTGCCGAATCAAAGGAAAACTTGCGAACATTTTTGTACGATCGATACCAGAACATTGCGGAGGGAATAGAAATGTAGGCGTTCTGTGTGTTACCTCGTTTTTTTTTTCGTTTTGCATATGCGCCCCCTCCCCCGGAGGAAGGGCGGCGGCGTCGTGGAGGTTTGCCGCCCCTGCCTTGCCTTGCCCCGCCGCCCTCCCGACCCCGCCTTCTCTTCCCTCTTTTTTTTTTTCATTTTGTCCGTTGGTCCTTTGGCCCCGCGTTTGCCTTCCGGCGGCGGTCTTCCCATTTTCCCTGCGGCGCAGGGGTTCCTGCTGTGCAGCGCCCGCGC